ACCGTGGTTATTCTTGTAGTTGGCCTGGCTCTGGAACGGGAACCGGTTTAGACCAATCAAAGAGAGTACGGACAGGTTGATATGTGCAAACTGAGATTGATGAGGAGGCGTTGGCGAGAGAAGTGGAAACCGGCTTCGATCCAACTGGTAAGTCACGTGGTGGTGCAAAGTGTCAGTGGGACCCACGTGTGTTGTTGTCTAATTGCAGTTGTGTGTGGTCTGAAGCAACAGACGGGGGAATCTTTGTCCGGATAACCGTTTTTCATTGAACCCAACAAAAGGGGAGAAATAAAAAAAAAAGAGGAAAAAACAAACAAACAAAAAAAACAAAAGAATTTTCTTTTTTTAACAAAATACTCCGTTTTCTTTCCTTGCTTTTCTTTTCTTTTTTTATTAATAATCCTTTCATAAAAAAAAATTTTCTCTACCCGATTTTATTATTTATAAGATTTAAATTTATAACTTCATTTTAAGAAAATGTATCCCTTTCGCTTAACCTAATAAATTGTTAGTCCTTTTCACCTTTATTAACACAATAGTTATTCTTCTTCCACTTAAAAATTAAAAAAAAATCAGAAAATATTCGTTCATTGTGAATTATACAAAACTAATAATAATTCAGGACCACCGTGATATAAGGGGGTTTTACTCATGAAAAATATAAAATTTATTAAAATATTATTCCTTTCATTCAATTTTAATTGTGTTGTTTAGCTTTTAAAATTTTTTGGCATAAATTTCAAATTAAAAAAGTTACAAAGCATAAAAATGACAATTCAAAATTTTCTTTATCCTATAAAGTTATAGTTAAGCAGTTTTATTTTATTAAAATACATTTTCAATTATTATTTATATATTCTATAAAATGTGAATTTATAATTAAAAAATTAAATTAAGATAATTAAAATTGAATTGATATAGTAAATATAATTTAATTGAGTTATGAGTTCATTTTTTTTAAAAAAAAAAAACAACTTTACTAATCACACTCTAACCAATTGCAACCTTAACTGTACCTAATTTTTGTAGAAGTTGATGATAAAAAAAATTTATAGAATTTATATTTGTGTAAAGATTATGAATGTGTTAAAACATACATTTATACCATATAATTACAAAATTCTTCTAAAAATTTATAAAATACTAATTCACAAGTTTAATAGTAAAAATTTATAAAATTAAATAAACTAAATATATTTATAATATTTTATATAATATTAACAATTATTTATATGGTCATATCATATGACCCTAAAAGGCCTTCACTTTTTTCTTTCCCCAATAAAAGGCCTTCACTTTTTTCTTTCCCCAATAAAAGGCCTCCACTTTATGATGGAAAAAATGGGGTTGATGTCAAGGTTTTGTTCAGGTATGGAGCCACAGACATAATGGGGCAAGGGCACTGTAACCTTCACGTCATTTATAATTGGGGGGGCAATTGTGATCCATTGGTGAACATAAAGCACAAGCTGGCGGCACATGGGCAGGACACTTCTTTTTCAGTTATTAATTTTATTTATAAATAGACATGCCCATATCAAGATTTCCTAAGTCTTCAATATAAATAAAAGTTAAGGTTTTCTAGAATCTTCTATTGCATAAAAAAGAAAAAAAAAAAGAAGAAGAAGGTTTTTCTAGATATGGATGAACTAAATTTCACAATTGAACTAATTAAATTCCCTTTTTAAGTTGTACAAATGTCCTAAATCAGTTAAAATTAGTACGGAGTAATTTTTTGGGTATTATATTTTAGATATAAGCATTTTCTATTTCTAATCAAAGTTAAGGGGTAGTATTTTTTTTATATACACAAAAAAAAATAGTTAATTTATAATTTAGTGAACTAAACCGCTAGCAACTAACTTTAACTAAAAATAAGATTTTTAAATTAATATGTGCTAATTTAATTAAATTATTATTTGTATCAAAGAAAAATGTTATTTATCTATATAAGAGTATAACTTTACACCCTTTTCATTATAATAATTGTTATTTTTTTATTTTTTTAAATTAATTATTTAAGAAGTCTTTATATATTTACCTATATTATTTTTAAAAAGATTAAAAAATAAAATAAATTATTTGTTTTAAAATAATTAAT